TAATTAATTAATTAATCTTAGCAGGTACAGGCTAATTAGCCTAAAGAAGGCATGGCCGACCTTGCCATCTGTACTTCCCAGTCGCCTTCCCCATTCCCCACCTGCTTCATATGCTTCCATTGCACGGTCATTGCTTATGGTGAAATAACTATGGAAAAAGCAAGTGAAATGAGTGGGAAAATCATTGGAATATCTGAATTTTTGTAAAGCTGAAGCAACTGTACCCATAACTTTCCCAGGTTGTCTCTTTGTGCAGAAGACCATACCTTGTTAATCAGTTGGCCTTCTGGTACCACTCTATACTTAGGGAGGGGGCCCTCCATTGCAGGCTCTATCGGACGTTAGGGAATAGCATAAGAAACTGAACCAGAGGGCTAGTTCTCGGATCTGTCCCCTGGATCATTATCTATGGAGTTGACATTGGCCATGGGAAAACTTTAGTATCATGAACACTCATAAATATGTGCCTAACCAATGCCTAACCAATGCATCAGATTCATTGCTTTCAACTTTCCTGTTATGCATTTATGATTGTTTCAGAAAAGATGCTCTACTGTTGACTCTCTTTATAGTACATGTATGCTGAATCTGAAGAGCAGAGGGAAAAAGAACATTTGAATTGGATCAGTGAAGAGATCCAGCTTTCTATTTAAAAGGTCATATACCTGCTTAATCTATAGAATATTAAGCCACGTTGGTGATGCAGGCGTTGGGAAAACACTGCAAACTAATCAGATGGTTATATTTTACCACAATCTTCTACCATATGCTAGGCAAGATCTATTCATACGTATTCTCCGGTATATGGCAGACTGGTTCTGCTTTCAAGAGGATTGAGCACATGTCCCTACAAACAGAACAACTCCAGTCACATCTTCTCTGATCAGGAAAAGGAAAGGATGGTCAGCAGCTACAAAGTCATTGGCAGTGAACAGAAGAGTTTGTAGAGACCTGCTGTGACAGCAGCGGAGCCTAGGTTTTTGACCCACTGTCGAATCAGACATTAATTTCTTTCAGACCTCCGAAGCTTCCTTTGAGAACTTCCAAAGCTTCGAACCAAAATGAAATCTTGAACCTTGGGTCCTGAATTCACCAACTTCTACCGTTCTAGACGGATGGAAGGTGGCGTTCCCAGAAACCAGACTCGGAACTCGCTTACTCTACCAAAGTTTGGCAGCCCATCTTTTGCCTCTGGAAGACAGATGTAAAAGGAGAACCGACGGTTATCTCCATCTGATCGATTCACGGAGGTCCATTGTTTCGAAACTAAAAACAAATCTCAACTCCAAGCAAAACCATTGCCTTGCTTAGGCTATAGGTGCGATAGAGTTTACCCGCAGAGAGCGAAAAGCAAAGCACTGTTGTTCTAAAGAGGGACGGCTGTTGCTGCTTTGCCAAGTTGGAGCTAAGCTGAGAGTGGGCCGATGGGGGCTTTTGTTTGTGGACTGTAGGGCC